TAAAAAAAAAAAAAAAAAAAAAAAAAAGCAGCCACAAGTGAAATACGGCGTATCACCATGGTTTTCTGACCTCTAAAACACATTTCAGAGAAACTAAAAACCTAAATAATTGAAAAAATAACCTGCAGTAGTCCCTCTGGGCTCCTACAAAAATGCTATAGACTGAACTAATAAACAATAAAGATTAATTTCTCACAGTTTTTGGAAAGTTCAAGACCATGGTGCTAGCGTTCAGTGACTGGCAAGGCTTTTTTGCTGTGTGCTCATCTGGCAGAAGGGATGTAAACTGTATCTCATGTGGTAGACACAGCACAAGGAAAAAAAACAAAGAACCTTGAACTACTTCCCTCCTGCTATTTATTTTATTGTTGATTGATTGACTGTATGAGGGACAAGTTAGGCAAGTGTTTAGTTAGTGCACTAAACTATGTGATTGAGCCTTTTTGAGAGAGAGAGAGGGAGGGAGGCTAAATTGACCAGTATGGTTTTGAATTTTCCATCTTTCCCCATCTTTCAGCTCGCTGGCATTGCAGGCATGTCCCACTCCATGAGTTTCTCCAGCTCTTTTCTAAGGCACATTCACTCTTGAAAGTAGAAACCTAACAGTCACTTCTCAAATGGCCCCACCTCTTAATGCCCCTAAAAAGGAGGTTAAGTCTGAGTGTGTGAATTCTTTTTTGGGTGGGTATGACATTCAGACTATAACATAAATCATATATAAAGATTAGAATGATCAATATTATAAGGATGTCTTCAAATTAATGTAAATTTAAAAGATCAATAAATCAGATTTGCTATTAAAGTTTTTTCAAAAGTTATCCTTAAAGGAGAAACCATAAACCAGAAGAAGCCCTTTGACAAAATTTATATGGAGAATACTAAAAACATCAATAAGATGAAATAAAAATGTACCAAAGTAAGCAGAATATTGGAAGAGACAAGATAAACACATGGAAGGATCTTATTGTGAATTTATATCTTAATAGAGATGTAGACCAGCCACAACTAGATGCTTCTATGTGTACATGTATGAGGATACCAAAATTTTGGGGGAGGATGTGGAGCCACTGAAAAATCTCACATCTTTCTTGTGGGAATATAAATGGTACAGGAACCTTGGAAAATGAGTAATTCCAAAAACATCATACTTAGGCACAGCATATGTGAAAACCATTCCATTTTTATCCATCAGAAATGAGTGTTTCCATACAGCCTTACAAAAAATTCAGTCATTTTGCTTGTAGTAGCTAAAAACTGAAAACAGTCCAAATGTCCCCACACAGATGAATGTCCCCAAACAAAATGCATACTCACATAATGCTCTTACTAATCAATAAAACAAACTAATGATAAAGGCAATAATATAAATCTGTCTCAGCATAGTTATGCGGGGTGGAAGACAAAATGTGTATATTTGCACATGATCGAAACTTTAAAAACTAAGTTTCACTAACGATGCTAATCAATTTGTTGTGACAGGAAAGTCAGGGAAAAGTGAGAGATTACAAAAAGGTAAAAGGCAACTTTTTTATTATTTTGATTACAGCAATGGTTTCAGCAGAGTGTACACATGTCATAATGTATCACGCACTTTAAATGGATATACAATGTTCTATAAGAAACCTAATTAAAGTCATTAAGATATACAGAACAACAAAAGAATTCAGTGAAACACAGGAGAGAAATAGAAAATCCTGAAATGGACCCAAATTCACAGGCAAATTTATTGTACAAAACGATAAAATTTTCAGTTCATGACAGGAAAACACTTTCCAGTTAATAAGAATGGAAAATGAAATGGATATCAGAAATAAAAATAAGTTTTATATGGATTTTTCTATAGATTAATTCCAAAAGGATTAAAGGTTTCAATGTAAAAACTGAAGTCATACTGCTATCAAGAAATCAATCAATAGCAAATGTTGGCGGGGTTGTGGGGAGAAAGGAACCCTTCTCCATTGTTGGAGGGACTGCAGACTGGTGCAACCACTGTAGAAATCAGTATGGAGATACCTCAAAGAACTAGGTTTAGAGATTCTATTTGACCCAGCCATCCCTCTGCTGGTTATCTTTCCAAAAGAATTAAAAGAATCATATCACACTGATATATGTGCGCCTATGTTTATAGTGGCACAGTTTGTAATAGCTAAAACTTGGAAACAGCCCAATTGCCCATCAGTTGGAGACTGGATGAAAAAGATGTGGTTTTTCTATAAAATGGAATACTACTCAGCCATAAAGAATGAGAAATTACAGTCATTCATAGGAAAATGGATACATATTGAGGACATACTCCTCGGTAAAATAAATAAGTCATACATGTATAAATATCAAATAGTTTCTCTGGTGTGAAAAACTATAATGGTACATAAGATCCTAATGATATAATTGACCATGGGAAATA